TCTCTCTCTCTCTCTCCTAGAAATAAATAAAAATATATATATATATATATATAAAAAAAGAAAATACAAATTAAAAAAAAATAGGGAGAACAGATTCAAAAAACCAAAAAAGAAAAGAAAAAGTCATGCAGCTCTGCCGGCCTCTCTTAGGACACTCGCCCTTAGAATGCAGCCCCCATGCTGTGAGGAAGCCCAGCCAACAGGACAGACAGGACGGGGCCCCTGGCCCTCAGCCCCAGCGGAGCTCCTGGCCGAAAGCCAGACCAACCTGCCGGCCAGCTTTTAGTAAAGCTGTATACTCCAAGCAGATGCTCTGACTTCAGTCAAGCTGCTGCGTGTGATGCCACACAGAGGGCAGAGCCAACCTTGCTAAGCGCTGCGCACACTGCAGAGCCGTGAACAAAGTCAGTACTTGCCATTATTCTAAGCCATTAAGTTTTAGAGTGGTTTTGGTGTACAGCAATGGATACCTAGAATATGCACTTGTGCATACTTAAAACGCTAAAAACAGCACCTAGTCTCCTCCCCAATGCAGACGCTTCTTTCTAGTAGGTGGCCATCCACTGTCTCAATCTTTGGATTAATATGGACATCAGTTCCTCACGAAGCCATTTCTTCCGCTGAGAACAACCCCAGGAATTATGATCAGCTTTATAATAAGATCGGTTCTATTCCCCACCCCCCCAATATCTATCCTCAGAGGTGACCACTGTTGTCTAAACCCTCAGGCCGGGGCTTTACCTTGTTAAATAGCAAAGAATTCTTTATCACTGTCCCATTTTATAGCCAAGGTACTTGAAATGCACAAATTGACTGCTTTATTGCATAAGTCACGAAACAGACACCAAATAAAATGCAGTTACTTGAAACTCTGGTAGGAGGTTTTGGTTTAGTTTTATTTCTACTGAATATGAGACAAATGTAATGGATACAAGATGTGCTGCCCATCCTCAAATTCACAAATTTCATACTTAGGCCAGCATTGTTTAGAGGGCTAATCCTCATTTCTATTATCTAGGGAGAGTATTGGTATGAATAACCAGAAAATGAAAACTTCTTTTCTGTACCACTCCTCTTTTCTTTGTTTGTACTTAAATCATTTCCTATTTTAACTCAATAAAGCCAGCCGGCTCATTGAGAGCAGGGATAATTCTTAGAATTTTGAGTCTTCCTTGGTGCTTGAGTGTTTATTTATATAATATATTGAATAATTTGCCTGAGAGGCGGCATACAGGTAACAAGGGTAAAAGCATTTCTTTCCAAATGATTTCAAAAATGGATCTCGCAATCCGAAAATATTTCTCATGCCAATGTAGTAATTGTACAGTAACTTTTTTACTTTTTCAAAGTTAGCAGCAATAGATAATAAGCTTCATACACTGTTGATTACAGTATATCGGTTGCCATGACAACACCTAGTCTCCAAACATTCTAATTGAGACAATTTCTCCCAGCTTCAGTCCCCGAAGACTGACCCAATTACACAACTCAAAACCCAAAACCCAGAGGGAGCCTCTCAATTTAACAATACTCTTATTACACAACCTAAGGAAAAATTTAAACATCACTTTTCCAAGTTGCAAGGAAATTTTTCAGGCAATGCATTTTGTTTTTACATCTAAAGTTGAATGGTAATTGTCTGATGTAACTTTTTAAAAAATTTTTTTAACATTTATTTATTATTGCGAAACAGAGACAGAGCACGAGTGGGGGAGAGGGAGACACAGAATCCAAAGCAGGCTCCAGGCTCTGAGCTGTCAGCACAGAGCCTGATGCGGGGCTCGAACCCACGAGTGGGGAGATCATGACCTGAGCCGAAGTCGGGCGCTCAACCGCCTGAGCCACCCAGGCACTCCTGTCTGATGTAACTTTAAAAAGATATCTTATTTATGTTTTCTGGGACGATTTGCATCCTGTTCCTTATAAGGTACAACTAAAGTCTTCGAGGAGCAAGGGAGACCATGCTAAACTCAGTAAAAGTATCACTGGACAAATCCAGAACACTTGTACACTAGCCCGAACTGGCCTCATGAGAGATAAGGAACTAGAAAAAAAAAATCTTTAAAATCATGTAAATTTTAGGAGGCTACCATAAATGAGGCTCCCTAGAGTGAACGTCTAATAATTCCAAAAGAAAAAAAAAATCTCAAAAAGAAAAAAGTAATGTTGGGAAATGTACCTCCATTATCTCAAAGTTGGTAATTCTCTTTCTCTAAAAGCCCAACAGATTTTGTTAATGTTTATTTTTGAGAGAGAGCGAGAGAGAGAGCGAGCAAGAGCGAGAGATAGAGAGAGCGAGCGCATGAGCAGGGGCAGAGAGAGAGGGGAATCTGAAGTGGGCTCCTCCTGACAGCAGAGAACCGGACACCGGGCTTGAAGGTGAGGTCATGACCTAAGCCGAAGCTGGATGGTCACGGTCAAACAACTGAGCCACTCAGGCGTCCAAGTCCAACAGATTTTTTAATGTTTATTTATTTATTCTGAGAGAGAGAGAGAGAGAGAGTGTGTGTGTGTGAGCGAGCGAGGAGGGAAGGGGCAGAGAGAATCCCAAGCAGGCTCTGTGCTATCAGCGCAGAGCCTGATACGGGGCTCGAACCCACAAACCATGAGATCATGCCCTGAGCTGAAACCAAGAGTCAGAAGCTTAATGGACTGAGTCATCCAGGCGCTCCCCCTAAAAGATTTTAAAACTGGATTGGTTTTCTAACATAATGCGCATTTTCTTAGAAAATTCTGATTAGGTGACTCGATCAGGATTTTAACATTTATCATGCACATGCCCAGAAGCATGAACTTATTTTACATATCTGGTAATATGTCTTACACCTCTACAAATACAGTACCTAGTACTGTTGTCCCAAAATGTTCCCTGTAAGCTCAAAACAGTGTCTACAATAGAAAGTTTATTACATGCTCCTATAGGGCAGAAAGCTTAGGTGTTGGGGGTCCACTGCTGTATTTTTCGATGCATTTACTTCACCAAAAAGAAAAAGAAAAAAAAATCACAGAACACGTCCACGTATCTGAAAGGAGAATAATTAGCATATGAGATTCTAATGAACCTGAACATTATGTTAATAAGGTTAACTGTATGGGGCGCCTGGGTGGCTTAGTCAGTTGAGCGTCCGACTTTCGCTTAGGTCATGATCTCGGGGTTCATGGGTTCGAGCCCCGCGTCGGGCTCTGTGCTGGCTGCCGGCTCAGAGCTTGAAGCCTGTTTCAGTCTGTGACTCCCTCTCTCTCTGACCCTCCCCTTCTCACGCTGTGTCTCTCTCTCTAGAAATAAATTTAAAAAAAATGAAGTTAGGTAAAAGTGACATTTAAAAAAAATAAAATAAAGGTTAACTGTAAGACAATCTATTATGAAGTAATGAAGGAGTCAAAAGGGCAATCAAGACCACTCTAAATAAAAAAATAAAAGGACTTTAGTTTTAGCCTATGATTTCAGAACAAAAAGCTTAAATAAAAATCAAATACACCAGCTTCTCTATGGCAGTTTAAGGTTAAAGAACATTGTTAGAGATAGTAAGACTCAGGAGATGAATCTTTTAAAAACTGTCCACCAAATAACTTTAAATGACAGGTGCAGGGGCGCCTGGGTGGCTCAGTCGGTTGAGCGTCCGACTTCGGCTCAGGTCATGATCTCGCGGTTCGTAGGTTCGAGCCCCGCGTCGGGCTCTGTGCTGACTGCCAGCTCAGAGCCTGGAGCCTGTTTCAGATTCTGTGCCTCCCTCTCTCTCTGATCCTCCCCTGCTCATGCTGTCTCTATCTCTCTCTCAAAAATAAATAAAATATTTAAAAAAATAAATGACAGGTGCAATATTCTTGTATGATATCACAGTACTTTCCACTCCTAGGCAATAAAATTATGCTATCAAGTACCGATAAGAGAATTGATAAATACACCATGCAACCCAAGAAGGATCTGAGAAACAGGAGAAAGCTACGGCTCAAAATTCTGCAAAAAGCTTCCAGTTTCTGAAGGCTCACAACTGGAAAACGGAGTTTACATGAAGAAATTATTCTGGCGGCTGAAAATCACGCGGGAAGTTCTATGAAATCATAACACGAATGCCAAACTTTCAAGTATTCACGGGCAAACCTAAGTGGCATTAAGCAAGGAGTTAAGTTCATAACGCTTATTAAAAAATCTTCTTCTGGACAAGAAAAATAATTGAGAAGTCTATCAAAGTATTTTACTAAGCACAAATGCAGAACTATGTAGAAAGAGGAAACATGATGAAATTTATGACTAAGTTGTGTTTTGTGCAACACCGGTGGACATTTCAAAGCTTTCTCGTTTCTGGCTTATAGACAGAAGTAAAAAGAAGGGCGTTTTCATTCATTGAAAACAATAGTTAGAATCCTGCCTGGTTATTTTCACCCTACAGTCTTAACACCCATTCCAAGACTGGTCCGCTTTTCATTATTCCTTTCGGGGAACTGGAAGGGGGAGGAGGGAAAGCAAACTTAACAGTCCGCTTGGTAACCGAGGCAATTCAGCAGTAGAATATACCACTAGGCACTAGAGAGCTTTACCCGCGGGGCAGACACAAAGGGACCAGGCCCCCGAACGAACGTGAGCGGCGAAAGAGAGGAGACTCGGTCCCACGTGTAACTCGACGACTGGACAAAACCCCGCTCCGCGCAGCGGGTGAAATGAGCAGATCTGCGATTCGCGGCATTCATGGCTCTCCTTCCTTCCCCAGAGTCCACCTTCGGACCGGAGGGAAAGCCCCCCCCCCAACCCGGGACCCCGACAATGAGCTCGAGGGCGCCTTGCAGCGCTTTCACGGTCCGCCGCCGCGCTGGATTTGACCGCTCCCCCCCCAAAGTCATTCCCCCCCTCCCGACTTGAGCTACTCGCGTGAGACCGAGAACGCGTGCGCGCGCGAGCCGCAGCCACTGGGTCGGCCCCCCTCCGCCCCTCCCGGGCCGCGAGGGACCCCGGCGGGGCGGCTCGGGACTGCTGAGACCAATGACTTTGGGACTTCGGTTACCTTCTCGCGCTGGTCCCAGCTGTACTGCTTCGGCCGCTCCTCCTCGCCCTCGGGCTCCGACTCCTTCTCAGTCTTCCGCCTCTTCGAGAAGAAGCAGCCCATGGTCCCGGCTTGCGGGTGTCGCCGGCCGCTCCTCCTCGCCGGCCCGCTGGTTCGGGCGCCTCCCGGGGGGTGTGGCGTGGACCCCGCGCTCCCGGGCCCCGTAGCTCTCCGGACACCGCCCCGCGGAACCGCCAGCTGTCCACAGTCCGGGTTAGCCCGCCAGGCCCAACACCCCTTCCCTTTTTCCTCTCAGTCGCCCAGACGACCCATGGCAGCCAATGACCACTCGGCGCCCGGTGAGCCAATCAAAGCCCCGCGAGCGGCCCTGCGCGGCCTATGAAGAGAGGTCGACGGACGCACCCAGCCAATCCGCGCCCGGCTCCTGCGCCGGCCCCCAGTGGCGGGCCCTGCCGGCTCGGGCGCACGCACGGCCGACCCCGCCCCCAGCCCGGCCCCGCCCCCGCGAGGACTCCCTGGGGCGCTCTCGCCGCTGGGAGTGCTGGCTCCTCAGTCTTTCTGCCCTTGGTTCTCAGTTTCCAAGTTCTAGGCGCGGGAGGGATCCCTAGTTGAACATTAAGCTTCAGTTTTATGATGCAAGTGGCGAGGGAGCAGGAATTGCGGCTGACACAGGAAGGGGCCCTGAAACTCGTAATTTTCCCCTCATCACCCCCGCGCCACACCTTCTGGCCAGCATCGCCCCCTCCGGAAGCTTCCCCCAGCCACACCCCCCTTCGCCCTCTCTTCTGTGCTTTCTGAATACTTAATACTTTCTGAATACTTAATACTTTATACATATCACTCTAAAGTTGCACGAGGACGCAGTAAATTAATTGTTTGTGTATTCTCTCTTAGAAATGTGAATTTCTTGGGGCGCCTGGGCGGCTCAGTCGGTTGAGCGCCGACCTCGGCGCAAGTCATGATCTCACCGTTTGTGAGTTCAAGCCCCGCGTGGGACCCTGTGCTGACAGCTCAGGGCCTAGAGCCTACTAAGGATTCTGTGTCTCCCTCTCTCTTCTGCCCCTCTCCTGCTTGCACTTTGTCTCTCTCAAAAATAAACACACACACACACACACACACACACAAAGAAATGTGAATTTCCTGAGACCAAAAGCCATCTCAAAGAGCATGTATCTTTGAATTCCCTAGACCTGGCTCAGCTCCATGCTAGGTGCTCAATAAGACGTTTGCCAAATGAATGCATGAATGAATGCATGCTAGTGAAGGAAGCATTTATAACCTTTTCTATATTCCTTATGGAAGAAAGTGACTGAAGTGTGTGTTTGATGAGGGAGAGCTAGAATGTTATGGTAAAGGGGTTCTCCTCTGGAATTTATAGCCTAGGGAAGGACATAAGGATTGCCATGTAAACAGCTCTGAGCAAATGGTATAGGGCTTGTCTGAAGGTATTAAATACATGTATACACAGACACACACTGAATATTAACATTTGTTACCCTTGGACCAAATTTACTACAATACACATGTATTGCTTATGTAATAGAAAAAGGCTGTTTTAATTCTCTGACCACGGTATTTTGACATCTTGGTAGGATATCAAATGTAGATCAGGTTCAAATTTGGTTGTCTTTTTACTTTTCCACACTTACTTAAATCTAGAATATATATCCTAACTGGGTCTCTGACTTAACCTGAGCATTCAGAATGTTCCCTTTTTCACTTCCTGCCTTTTATTGCACAATCAGGAAGAAAAGTTCATGTGCTCAAGTATTAGAAATTACTGCACATTTAAGTTCCAGATCTTAGGCAAGAGAGTCTTTATCGAGCACATACTTCTTCTCCTTCAGACTGAGATGAAAGGTCTGTGTGAGGGTGTTTTGGATAAGACCCCCAGATATTTTATGGTCATAGAATGTCAAAATTGCGACCACCATGTAGTACAGTGGAGGAAGCAGAGGTACACAGAGGGGAAGGGAGTAATCTGGGGCCACGATGAGAATGGTTGAGCAGGGACTGGAAAAACCCAGAGCCTGTGCCGTCCAGTGCTCCCTCTGACCCTGAACGTGTTCCTTTCTGATTGATCTGAAATAAAGAAGTATCTATTTAGGCCATCTGATGCCTATGCAAGCTCTGTCCCACAGTGATGCTGTTCTTCTTAATGAACAAACAACAAAACTCATTTCGTTTTTATTTATTTATTTATTTATTTATTTTGAAAAAGAGAGAGTACAAGGCGGGGAGAGACAGAGAGAGAGAGAGAGAGAGAGAGAGAATCCCAAGCAGGCTGTTTACTGTCAGTGCAGATCCCAATGGTGGGGGCTCAGACTTATGCACTGTGAGATCATGACCTGGGCTGGAGTTGGATGCTTAACTGACTGAGACACCAAGGTGCCCAGCAAAACTAATTTTAGAGAAACGATCCCTAAAACTCTCACAGTTTTGCAGTATTCATTAACAAGAAACTCAAACCTAAAAAAAAAAAATCTATATCCAACAGTGATCTTTTCAGGGACCCGAAGCAAAAGGGAAGATAAAGTCCCCTTTCTGTTAAATTCCATCCCACTGGGATGCCTGGGTGACTCAGTTGGTTGAGCATCCAACTCTTGATTTCAGTTCAGGTCGTGATCTCAGGGTCATGGGATTGAGCCCCACATTGGGCTCTGGGCTGAACGTGGAGCCTGCTTAAGAGTCTCTCTCCCTCTGGGGCGCCTGGGTGGCTCAATCAGTTGAGCGTCCAATTTCAGCTCAGTTCATGATCTGAACCCACGGTTCGTGGGTTCGAGCCCCGCGTCAGGTTCTGTGCCGACAGCTAGCTCAGAGCCTGGAGCCTGCTTCAGATTCTGTGTCTCCCTCTCTCTCTCTGCCCCTTCCCTGCTTATGCTCATGCTCTGTCTCTCAGAAATAAATAAATCTTAAAAAAAAAAAAAGAGTCTCTCTCCCTCTGTCCCTCTCCCGCTTTCTCTCTAAAAATTATTTTTTTTAATTTTAAAATCTCATCCCAGGGGGCCAAGGTGGCTAAGTAGGTTAAGCATCCGACTTCAGCTCAGGTCATGATCTCATGGTTTGTGAGTTTGAGCCTTGAGTTGGGCTCTGTGTTGACAGCTGGGAGCCTGGAGCCTGCTTCCGATTCTCTCTCTCTCTCTCTCTCTCTCTCTCTCTCTCCCCCTCTCTCAATCTGCCCCTCCCCTGTTCACACACTCTCTCTCACTCTTTCTTTCTCAAAAATAAATAAACATTAAAAAAAAAGTTTTGTTTAAAGTTGGGTTGTGGTTTTGTACCTAGCCACAGGCTCCAGAGAGAGTATGGGTTCCCCGTGTGTCAGACCACAGAAGTGACATAGTGGCTTCTCAGAAGACAGACCTGAAGAGGTATATCTCCGTAGCATGAATAAGTTAATGACTGCAGCAACAGCAGCTGGAAAAAAAAATCCCTATTCTATTTTTTCCATTTTTTAATGTTCATTTATTTATTTTGAGAGAGAGATAGAGAGCAAATGGGGGAGGGATAGAGAGAGAGGGACACTGAAAATCTCAAGTGGGCTCTGCACTGTCAGCACAGAGACCCACGCGGGGCTCGAACTCATGAACAATGAGATCATGATTGGAGCCGAAATCAAAGAGTTAAGATGCTTAGCGGACTGAGCCACCCAGGTGCCCTGAAAAGTCCCTACTCTTGAGTTGACCTGACACATGCTTGCTTACTCTGCACTCACCTAAGGAAACACTTCACAAATGAAGGAGAAGGGAAAGGAGGCGGGCTTCCATTATTTATTGCTGTGTAACAAATTACCTGACACTTAATGGCTTAAAAAACAATTATTTATTTTGGACACAGATCTGGGATTTAAGCAGGGCTGAATGGGGGACATTTTAAAAAAATTTTTAGCGTTTATTCATTTTTGAGAGACAATAAGACAGAGCGTGAGTAGGGGAGGGGCAGAGAGGGAGACACAGAATCCAAAGCAGGCTCCAGGCTCTGAGCTGTCAGCACAGAGCCCGAAGCGGGTCTCAAACCCACAGACTGTGAGATCATGACCTGAGCCGAAGTCGGACGCTGAACCAACTAAGCCACCCAGGCGACCCAAGTCTAATTATTTTTAAAAGCATCACGGGGCACCTGGGTGGCTCAGTTGATTCAGCGTCCGACTTTGGCTCAGGTCAGCCTGGTTCGTGGGTTCGAGCCCCGCATTGGGTCTGTGCTGGCAGCTCCGAGCCTGGAGCCTGTTTCGGATTCTGTGTTTCCCTCTCTCTCTCTCTGCCCCTCCCACGCTCATATTCTGTCTCTCTCTGTCTCAAAAGTAAATAAACTATTTAAAAAAGCATCAAAAGTAGTGTTTAATCAGGTGACAAACACTACGCTTTTCTGACTGCTCTTAGCATATCTTATTCACTGTCGTCGCTAAAATTCTTACCGTAAGCCAAAAAAAAAAAATATTTGGAAGTTAGTACAGAAGAGGAATAGCAGGGGAAACAGACTTCTAACTCATATTAGGGTGGGGCGGATGGAAGAATCTAGAAAGACATCTCAGAAGTAAATGGATTTAGCAGCATAAAATAAAAATAATTACAGTAACTTTTTTACAAGCAAAGCAGTTCCAATGGAAACTATTTTTAAAAATCGCTTCTGGACTAAAAAAAATTTTTTTCTAGTAGAATTTCCATCTTCTAAATATTTATTTCCATACTTTTCAGGAAAGGGACAAGCTAGGACAAAACTAAACCCACAGAAAAATAGTTACAGAGAGGGAGGGAGGCAAACCACAAGAAGACTCTTTTTTTTTTTTTTCTAGGAGAGAGAGAGAGAGAGAGACAGCATGAGCAGGGGAGGGTCAGAGAGAGAGGGAGTTACAGACTCTGAAACAGGCTCCAGGCTCCGAGCTGGCAGTCAGCACAGAGCCCGACGCGGGGCTCGAACCCACGAACCGCGAGATCATGACCTAAGCGAAAGTCGGACGCCCAACCGACTAAGCCACCCAGGCGCCCCAAGAAGACTCTTAAATACAGAGAACAAACCGAGGGGGGATGGGAGGTGGGAGAGGGGAAGGCGGGTGATGGGCATGGAGGAGGGCACTTGTGGGGCTGAGCACTGGGTGTTGTATGGAAGTCAATTTGACAATAAATTATATTCTTTATTTTTTTTTTTTTACTTTTTTTTTAATTAAAAGTTTATTTATTTATTTTGAAAGAGAGAGAGGGAGAGCACATGTGCACACATGAACGGGGGAGGGGCAGAGAGAAAGAAAATCCCAAGCAGGTTCCGTAACATCAGCGCAGAGCCCGACATGGGGCTGGAACC